CGCCTCACTTTACAATAATTTCTTTCAAAACATTGGGGGCTGGCATTGTGGCACAGTGGGTTAAGTAAGCTGCCATTGTAACGCTGGCATCTCACACAAAAGTGCCAGTTGGATGGGGAGAGACAGGGAAGGAAAAGGAGATACAGATCTTTCTTCTACTGGTTCACTCCCTAAATGCCCACAACAGCCAGGTATGGGCCAGGTCAAAGCCAGGAGCCAGGACCTTCATCCAGGTCTCCAGTGCGGTGGCAAGGACTCAAGTACTTTGGGCCATTATCTGTTGCCTTCCCAGGCACATTAGCAGGGAGCTGGATTGGAAGTGGACTAGCTGGGGTTCACCAGCACTCAAATGGAGGATACAGGTGTCCTAAGAGGCAGCTTAATCTCCTGTGCCACAGCACAGGCCCCTACAGTAATTTTAAAAGTGGGTATTAGTGGGCAATAATACTGTATTTGACATCTCCTCCATTTATTTTAAAGAAAGAGGGATAGGGAGATGCAGGAAGAGGAAGATGGATCTTTCATCCACCTGTTCACTCCCCAAATGCCTGCAACAGCCAGAACCCAATTTGGGTCTCTAACATGGGCAGCAAGAATGCAAGAACTTGAGCTGTCATCTGCGGGCTGCCAGGGTACGCATCAGCAGGGAGTAGGTGGGAAGCAGGGCAGCCAGGACTTGGACCAGGCACTGACATGGGACGCAGACATCCAAAGCACCGATCCAGCTGTGGTGCCACACCAGTCCCTGCCATCCCCTTTCTGTTGCTCCTGTAGCTGCTTGGACTGGAGAGTTTAGAGTAAGGAGAGGCCTTTGGATCCCAGCACCTAGTGAACATGAATCTGACACCCGACGGGAGGGCGAGTCCAGTGAGGTAAGGATGCATCTGTGACTATAATGAACATTTGGGTGTCTTGCTGTTCAGTCTTGTTCACCTTTTAAGATTTTCTTTTACCTAATTTATTTGAGAGGCAGAAAAAATTCTTCTATCTGTGGGCTCACACCTCAAATGCTCACAACAGCTGCGATTGGGTCATGCTGGAGCCAGGAGCTAGACATTCAGTCCAGTCTCCACGTGGGTGGCAAGGAGCCCACGACTTGCTGCTACCTGAGGTGCACGGCAGCAGCAAGCTGGAATGCAGAGCAGAAGCAGGACCTGAACCACACCCCGGTTCAGTGGTGATCTACACACTGTGCCCAATGCCTTCCCCCACGTGTGTTTGCCTTTCATGTAACTGCTGAGAGCAGGGTTTAAGCCTACCATCTTGCCATTTGTTTCTGTCATCAGAGCTGGGTAAAAATTTAAGCCAGATTGATATCACACTTCAATTTCAGTCCACTCCTGGTATCAGCCCCCACCCCCCCACCCCCCCTCCCCTGCCACAGCAGCCTGCTGGTGTTGGTTTTTCATGCTCACTCTGCTGGGGTGGGTACAGGAGCTGGGCCTCTGACTCCAACTCAACAGCTCCAATGCCATGATCACCATTAGGTATTAGGGGTTCTGTGAAATACTCTATGCAAGCAGAGTTCTCTGGTTAGTTGGGAAACCATTTAGTCTCTCTTAAAACTTCAATATGCATCCAAATAAGGGAACACGGTACACACTGAGGGCGAATCACTCCTTCACCAGGTCTAGGCAATGCTCCAGTACTGGACAATCTGACAGCTGAAAATAACTGCGACTTCCCTGGCCTCAAGAACTGGGAGAACAGCTGAGTCTTGAAGAAGCTAAATTGGGAAAGGGCAGAGGTAATCCTGAGGAATCCCATGTACGTCTTGACGCTGCAGACAGCAAATCTAAGTTTGAAATGGGCAGCTGCCATCCCAGGGCACTGCCAGCGTGAGAGATGGGGAAGGCACCAATAGGAAAGGACTTTCTGGATTAAACTCTTGGGCTGCACAAGTGGGTTACCCTTCTAGGCAGATATTAAAACATTCTTCTGTTTTCCAGATTGAAGTGGTTATCACCAGGTTTTTTGTAGTCTAAGGCTAAAGCAGACAAACACCACCGATGCTACTCTTCTAGCCAGAAGGAACGTTCTCCAGGGCAGGACATGCTTCCGTCAAATATATTAAAATAACTGTATTTTGCAGTCCTCTGGGATCTTGGGACCTACTAGACAGACTAATTTCCATAATGTGATTTGTGACAAATGAAGCACAGAGCAGAATCAGAGGCAGGAATGGTACAGCAATCAAATGAAAAACGGGGCAATGGAGTGCCGGGCTGGGTAGGAAACAGAGACATCTCAATCACTCAGGCAGCGGAGAAGCCTCAGCAATTGAGAATAACTGGAGGCCTCTGCCACTAACCTGGGTAACTTATTTAACCTTGGAATCATCTCTAATCCGTCAACCAACCTGTGGTATCCACCTGCTTTGCCAGTGGTTGGGAATGAAGTGAGGCAGTGGGGAATGCTTGGCACAGGGCTGGTCTGGGGCAGCCCTCACCCACCAGTGGCTGTTATTTCCTTAAAGGGAAGGCAGGGAGCCGCTGATACAGCTACTGAAGTTCATTTGTAAAGGGCTCCATGGCTCACGGGTTTCACCAATGCACGCTGGACGCGGTACGGGAGGCTCGCTCGTGAAAGCGCCCTGAATTCCCGACTCCTCAGAGTGGGCACGTGCACCTCAGGGATGAACGCCTTTACTCAGCCCCCTCTTTTCTCCTGACCAGAACCTATTTTAATCTGGATATGATTTCCAGTCTGGATTATGCCAATGGGATTCTGGGTTCTGGACTCCCAAACTGTCAGAACTTTGTATTTTAAACAATAAACACCTTCTCCCCTCAAAAAATTTGTGGCTCAAAATTTCTGGCCAGATCCCTCAGGGCTTACGGGTTACGCCTGAATTTCTGCCCTTAGAATACAAGGCTATCCACATCCTGAATTAAATCCATTTTCCTAACCTCCAATCTAACAAATTCTTCCTGTTCCCCTAACACATCAGGGTCTTTCAAACCCCCGCACCTCCTTATGCTTTCCCCTCCCTCAATCTCGAACAAATGACTATCCTGCCAATCCTATTCTACTTTCAAGGCTCAGCTGCAATGCTACCATTCTAAATAAAGCCCACTTCAATGCCCCCACATTCTTTTCTTCCTTCAGGCTCAATTATATGTATCTTTTTTTTTTTTTTTTAAACATTCATTTATTTATTTGAAAGGCAGAGTTGGAGGGATGGGGAGAGGAACAGAGAGACAGAGAAACAGAGAGAGAGAGATTGATTGATTGATTCCATCCTCTGGTTCATTACTCAAATGGCTCCGACAGCTGAAGCAAGGAGCCTGGAACTTCATCTGGGTCTCCCACATGGGTGGCAGAGGCCCAAGTACTTGGAACATCTTTGCTTTCCCAGGCACATAAACAGGAAGGTGATCAGGCAGAGCAGCTGGGACTTGAATAAAGGCTCGTAAGGGACGGCACTCATAAAGGATTGTTGTGCCACACTGCCAGCCCCTGTATCATTTAATCTTTTTTTTTTTTTTAATTTATTTTAAAGGCAGAGTTAGAGAGAGGCAGAGGAAGACAAAGAGAGGTCTTCCATCTGCTGGTTCACTCCCCAGAAGGCTGCAATGGTCAGAGTTGTGCAGATCCAAAGCCAGGAGCCAGGAGCCTCCTCCAGGTCTCCCATGCAGGTGCAGGGGCTCAAGGACTTGGGCCATCTTCTACTGCCTTCCCAGGCCACAGCAGAGAGCTGGATTGGAAGTGGAGCATCCACAACCTGAACCGGTACCCATATGGGATGCCGGCAGACCGGAGCTTTAAAACGCTTTGCCAGAGCGCCAGCCCCATATCATTTAATCTTAGTACTCAACAGAACATTTTATTTATGTCTGCTTCTCCCACTAGACATACTTTTTAATTTCAGACCTTTTTTTCTAGCTGCTCCACTGCTGCTAGGAGTAATTGCAGCAGTCCTAATGCAGTGGAAAGCACTTTGTGGAACTGGAAGGTGTAAAGGATTGAACTATGGCTGGTCTGATCTGCAGAAGAAAAAGCAAGAATGAGGCAGAAAATGACACGGGCTCTATTCCTTTTTCCAGTTCAACATCGCAGGTTTTGACTTGTAACCACTGTATGAAGAATTAACAGCTTGTAAGATACCTTAAAAAAGAATGAGTACGGGTGAGCATTTAACCCAGTGGTTGTGACACCCATGTCCTGGAGGCTGGCGCTGTGGCACAATTAAGCCACTGTCTATGGTGCCAGCTTCCCATACAGGCACCAGTTGTGTCCCAGCTGCTCCACTTCCGAGCTAGCTTCCTGATAATGTGCCTGGGAAAGCAGCAAAAAATGGCTCAAGTCCTTGGGCCCCTGTGCCTTCATGGGAGATCCAGATGAAGCTCTGATCCTTGGCTTTGGCCTGGCCCAGCCACGGCCATTGCAGCCTTTTGGGGAGTGAAACAGCAGATGGAAGACTGACGTCTCTTTACCTGGCCCCCCTTCCTTCTCTAACTCTGCCTTTCAAATAAGTAAATGAAACCTTGAAAAAAAAAATGTCCATGTCCCACCTCAGAGTGCCAGAGTTTGAAACTCCAGTTTCCTGCTAAAGCCGACCCTGGGAGGCAGGGGTGATGGCTCCAGTAGGTGGGTTCCTGCCCCCGTGAGACCTGGATTGAGCTTCCAGCAATTGGCTTCAGCTGTAGATACCCAGGGAGTGAACCAGTGGATAAGAACCTTTAAAATTTAAACTAAGAATGAGTAGTCCTTGAGCAGCTCACCCATGTAAATACCACATATAATGAGGTTGACAAGATCTGCTACAGTTCAGAGTATCTATAAAAAGTTTTACTTTTTTGTGTAAATTTTAATACAAGATGTTAAAGTCTTAGATAACTGAGTTGATCCTGTTAGGAACAAAATACGGCATGGATTCCAGAACAAGAATATACGAGTAGGTGTGTATGTATGTAAATGTGTATGCGTGCACGTGTGTTCAGTCGCTATGCAGTGATGATCAATTTGCCAAGGACAGTAAGATACTGCAGAAAAGGATATATGAGAAACATCTTTTATTTCTTCTAAAGAGGTGAAAATAAGTAAGATTTCTTATATTTTTCACTCATAAGATTTTAAACTCTTAAAAATGCAATTTCTTCTTTCAAAGCACATGCCATCTTTAAAAAAAAACTTAGCAATGTACATTTGCACTCAAAGAAAAACATGCAGCGTTATTGTCTTCTGACAAAAGTCTGCATATAAACCCCACGCAGCTTTCACATGTTCCCTCTTTATTATTTAGGGCCTCAAGACCACCAACATTCAGTGCAATATTTATCAATTCTTATTTCCCTAGGAAACACAGGACCAATGATGTCTTCTGACTACAACTGTTTCTGGATGGCTGAGCAACAGTCTCCCTCTGATTTAAAGCACCCTCTTTTTAACTTGCAGATGTAAGGTACAACTAGAAGTCAGAGAAACTTGAGGATCCAAGGGGAGGAAGGAGGAGAAATACTTTAGGTCTACCCTGTGCCATAAACTTAGGAAAACAATTTACACAGAAAAAAAAACCACAAAACAAAAAAACCTCAGATTTTATCAATGCACCCTTTAAAAAAGTATTTTTAAATTTCTGAAAGCAGCTTAATGTGAATCAAAAGCAGTTCCTGAGTAACTGCAGTAAACAGTCTTTTAAAATATATATATGTACACATATATGTACACATACATACATACATATATATATATTAGCAACCTAGCTCATTTTGGTTCTGCCTTAATTTACCTCCCCAGCATTTAGTTGAATCAGTCCCTTTCTTCTTGTCAGCTCCCCATGTGCAAGTACAATAGCATCAGCTCTGGGAGTCGGCAGAGTGCAGATGTTTCTTGTCACTCTGTGTGGTCATCTGCATGTCTACTAGGCCAGGTTTCCAGAGTCACTGCAGGTCACATTTCTCTTCGATCTCACATCACATGTGACAGCCATGGACTCCTCACGTTTTCTTCATTAGACGCCGAGACTGCCACGTGTGGAGCTTGTTGTAGGCTGTCTGCAGCATCTCTTCTATGTGGCTCACCAACTGAAAAACAAAAACACAGCGGGACACTTAACTGCTGGGCAAAGGCAGGGGAAGTTCCTGCTTCTGACCGGACTCTGGCAAGTACATCAGAGTGTGGTTTCCACACTCACCTGCAGTGCCCAGTCCACAAGGCACTGTGCAAGCCCCCTGCAAAGGCGCTAGCAGTCACATTCTGTACGGGAAGATACGCTGATGTGCAGGAAAGAGGCTGGAAGCTCACCCGCAATGTCTGCCCTGTCACCCAGCAGCAACTGGACAACATCAAAGCAGTCATTGGCCTCTGTGCCCATTTCTTCTGTCAAATGGGGCGGCAGGGGCCAAACTCAGTTGGTGATTTCTAGATTTAAACACTGTTAAACTCATTAAGGCAAGAATGGTGGCAACAACAGAACTTTTAACAGAGCATCTGAAAAATGCTGTACTCCCCTAAAGATTCTGAATCAGCAGGTCCAGGATGAGACCGGGGAATCTTTTTTATTTATTTATTGATTTATTTGCAGGAAAGGGGGAGAGAAGGGAAGAGAGAATCCATGTATTGGTTTACTCTCCAAATGGCCACAATGACTAAGCAGATGGCAGGAACCTCATTATCTGAGCCAATGACTGCCTCCTAGGGCCTGGAAGAGTAGGAGCTGGGAATTAAACACAGGCATCCTAAAGTGGGACACAGACATCTCACTGCTAGGCCAATCACTTGTTGTCCCAGGGATCTTTTGGCTTTTCAAAACTGTCTTCAGTTAATTCTTCTGCACAATTTTATGGAGTCCTTTTCTGTTTTCTTAATAGTTTTTTCCAGCTCCAACCTGACAAGATGTCAATGTAACTTAGTCGATTACCTACTACCTGGATGGTTTCAAGGCTTTGGATAATGGACTACATCACATATATTTTTTTTTCTTTTTTTTTTTTTTTTTTTGACAGGCAGAGTGGACAGTGAGAGAGACAGAGAGAAAGGTCTTCCTTTGCCGTTGGTTCACCCTCCAATGGCCGCCGCGGCCGGCGCGCTGCGGCCGGCGCACCGCGCTGATCCGATGGCAGGAGCCAGGAGCCAGGTGCTTTTCCTGGTCTCCCATGGGGTGCAGGGCCCAAGCACCTGGGCCATCCTCCACTGCACTCCCGGGCCACAGCAGAGAGCTGGCCTGGAAGAGGGGCAACCGGGACAGAATCCAGCACCCCGACCGGGACTAGAACCCGGTGTGCCGGCGCCGCTAGGCGGAGGATTAGCCTAGTGAGCCGCGGTGCCGGCCCTACATCACATCTTAGATCAAGACTACAGAACTGAGCAGAGATCTGTCCCGGTCATGGGCATAACTGAAGTCAACAGGATCACAATGACTCCTGAAGTAGAGTATCTTTAAAATACCTATTTTCTTGGTGGTGGATAATGTTTACATCGTTAGAAGTCTTTATAAAGGGCTGGCGCTGTGGCTCACTAGGCTAATCCTCTGCCTGCGGCACTGGCACCCCGGGTTCTAGTCCCGATTGGGGTGCCGGTTCCGTCCTGGTTGCTCCTCTTTCAGTCTAGCTCTCTGCTGTGGCCTGGGAAGTCAGTGGAGGATGGCCCATGTGCTTGGGCCCTGCACCCGCATGGGAGACCCCCCGCCCCCACAAAAGAAGTCTTTATAAAGTCTTTAGGTCAATTCTGGGAGGATGGAGAACACGAAGTCCTTGATTATTTTTTTTAAGCTTGTCAATGACCAAGATAAAAGCAGTCCAGAGTTAAAGAGCCTCTTACTTGCCACATCTATTGTTATAATGTCTGGACAGTATAATAATTATGGCTCAATGGGCTGTGGCTCTACTGAATCAACTGGAAGAGATCAAAAAAAGGGAGACGAACACCTGAAGAGTGCTGACACCACAGCCTCCTGCACGGCTGTACATGGCTCCTCGTCACCACAGCACTACAGGCACAACGCAGCTACAGCCAACTGAGGAGGCCCACAAGCCAGAATCTATCTGTCACCCTTGCCTATTTGGGGAGACATGGCAAGCTTCTTTTCTAAGTAATGCTGTTTTGTATTCTGAGAAAATTCACTTAGAACATTAGGGAAGAGACACAAAACTGTACTGGTGATGATTTTTCTGCTTTTGATTTTCCTCAATATTAATCAAGGCAGCTGGAAGCCAGACACAACCTAAGAAATGGTCAGTTTACTGTCAGGGCAATTCTACTTTTCCCCACGTTGACAGGTTTGCTATCAAGTTTTTCCAATTTAATGGTACACATTTTTAAGAACATATACATAGGCTCTAAAATCTATAAATAAAAGGATAGAGGTGATTATCACAACTGTCTGGTCAGTTATGACCTCTAGAGAGAGGGGAGTGGTGTGCAATTGGAAATAATTGTCACTCAACAGTAACAATCTACTGCTATTCCTGATTGGTGAGTATTTAGCATTTTATTAAAACAAAAACAAAAACAAAAACAACTCCAAGCAGCAAAAAACAAAAGTATCTACTCACTCAGATTAAAGCAGTTAATTTTACTATAACAGAAAGAAAATCAGATTGTTGTCTTACATTTGTGCTTAAATACTGTCTCCGAATTTTTTCTTGGAATGGGCAGAGCTTTGTAACCTGGAATCGTTCCAAATTACTTTTCATTTTTATTACCTAAAAAAGATGAAAAAACAATTATAGAAATTTCTCAAGAGAACCTGTAAGAACCAAGACAAAAACACTACTTTCCACATAGGAAGGTATGTTTTTAAAAAGGGCTGGTGCTGTGGGATAGTGGGCAAAGTTGCTACCTTGCAGCACTGGCATCCATACACTGGCAACCAGTTCAAGTCCCAGCTGCTCCACTTCTGATCCAGCTTCCTGCTAATGAGCCTGGGAAAGCAACAGAAGGTGGCCCAAGTGCTTGGGTCCTTGCACCTGCGTGGGGAGACCTGGAAGAAGCTCTTGGCTTCCGATTAGCCCAGCTCCGGCTGTTGCAGCCATTTGGGGAGCAAACCAGCAGATGAAAATCTCACTCTCTGTGACTCTGCCTTTCACATAAAAAAAAAATCTTTAAAAAAATTTATACCATTTCTACTTTTTCTACTTTAGTGACAGAGGAATATCTCTGTTCTTAGGTATTTATATACACGGTAATTACTTCCTTAAATTCCTAATTGATGAATTTCTAAATCAAAACACTCCATAAAAGGTAATTTACTAGCAGTGGAAGGTTCTCAGCAATCTGGCCAACAATGATTTTAAGTTTTTTGTTCTTTATACAATTAATAAGTACAAACGGTCTTTCACTGTAGTTTTATTATTAATGGGTCTGAAAATTTCCTCTTATACTTACTGGGCCACTAGCATTTTTTTAAGAAAAGATTTATTTGAAAGGAAGAATTACAGAGAAAGGGAGAGGGAAACAGATACCTTTCTTCCATTGGTTCACTCCCAAATGGCCCCAACAGGGGGTTGGGTCAGGCAGGAGCAGGAGCCTAGAACTCTTCTGGGTTGCCCATGTGGGTTCAAGGACCCAAGGTCTTTGGGCATCTTTTTTTTTTTTGACAGGCAGAGTAGACAGTGAGAGAGAGGGACAGAGAGAAGGATCTTCCTTTTTTCCATTGGTTCACCCCCAATGGCCGCTACAGCCAGTGCGCTGCACCGATCCGAAGCCAGGAGCCAGGTGCTTCTCCTGGTCTCCCATGCGGGTGCAGGGCCCAAGCACTTGGGCCATCCTCCACTGCACTCCCGGGCCACAGCAGAGAGCTGGACAGGAAGAGGAGCAACTAGGACAGAATCTGGCGCCCCAACCAGGACTAGAATTTGGTGTGCCGGCGCCGAAGGCAGAGGATTAGGCTATTGAGCTACGGAGCCAGCTGGCGCATCTTATGCTGCTCTACAAGGATTATTAGCAGGGAGGCTGGATGGGAAGTGGAATAGCTGGGACTTCAATAGGCACTCACAAGGGGCCAGCATTGCAGGCAGCAGCTTAAGCCATTGCCATCATGCTGGGCCCGTCACTAGCGTCTTAGTGAGTTGCCTAATTTCTGCCTTCTGTTATTAACGAGATAGTTATCTTTCCCTGTTTGTAAGAATAACACAAAGTAAAGCTGTTGCTACAAGTAATGTATAAATATCTTACCATTATCAACAGCCCTCTTTGTTTTAAATATATTTGAGAGGCAGAGATGGAGAGTGAACTCATCTACTGACCTTCCCACAATGGCTACTGCCAGGCCAGGCCAGGGCTGAAGCTAGGAGCAAGGAGCTCAATGAGGGTCTCTTACGGGGTGGTAGGAATGCGACTACTTCATGACCATCACCACTGCTTCCCATGGACTGCATTAGCAGTTAAATGGAATCTGAAGCCAGAGCCAAGACTCAAAGCAAGGCACTAAAATACAGAATGAGTCTCAACCAGCACCAACTGCCAGATCAAATGGTTCCCCATGTCAATCATCCTTTATTTGGTAAAGGCTTTTAGTGTTTATAGTTAGTGCTATATTTTGTTGCTGAGTCCTCAATTTGGATTTCTGTACCCTTAAAAAATTCCAAATCACCTTACTAATGTGATTGTATTTTAATTATTCATACAATGGCTGGAGATTAAGTCCAAGTTTTAAGTTATTAGTATGCAACTGGTCTAGGTCTCAATTTTCTCATCTATGAAATGAGTATGATCAACACTTACTCCAAAAGATCTTGTGAGGCTTAAATGAAATAACGTATATAAAAGTAGGTACCCCAGTGGCTGGCCCATACTCAACACTCAATACAATTTGGTGATTTCAAATTAAACCTCACTAAGTTGCTAGCACAACAGCTGGCTGTACTTAGGATTAGTTCCAACCTTTTCTTCTAGGAATGGTGTTAACGGAAAACAGGACCAGAAATGCCGCAGAAGTTCTCCAACAGCCACATACAAGTGTTTCAATTCAGACTGAATATCATTGGCACCATCTCTGCAAAAGAAGGAAGACATCCACAAGATAAACCTATTTCCATACATGTATAGTCTCTGGAAAAAACAACTAATCCAAGAATAAATCTGAACATGTGCTTTTGACCAATGCCAAACCAGGATGTGTTTCTGAGAAATGGTTTTGTGGCTGAGGGAGATCACAAATTAAAATTATATGGGTTCTGGAGGGACTTTCAGTTTCCCTTTATTCTAAGGGTAGGGAAACAGGCTTTTAGTATGATGTTAGGAAGACTAGCAGTATGTCATATGTTTATAATAGTAAGAAATTCTGAAACCTAAACTCTCATCTAGATGTTTTAGAATCTGAGTCTACAAGACAACCATCTCTGAAACATCCAAAGGAAAACCAACAGAAAGAGCGCTCCGCTACGTTGCTCTTCAGAGCTCACTGAAGCAGAGGGATAGCAGTACATACGGTTTATGGCTTGCTGTGTCCTCCTTGCATAAGTGCTCCTCGGGTGACAATGCTGTAATGGTACAACTGGCAGCACCACTTGAGAGAACCTGAAAGAAACAAAGACATACAGATTGGTTTTCCTCCTACTGCTGCTTTTTTTAAATTTCAGCTTTATGCCAAAAGGTGAAGTAGAACATCTATTCCTGTATAAAACATCCTTTACAGCAGGGGGGAAACATCTGGCTTGTTGGCTGTAGAAGGCCCATGAATCATCGCAATGACAACGGCAAGCAGGACAAGAAATTCAGTAAATTTACAGAAGGCTAATCTTTGTAACAGTAATTACTTTTGAAAAAGATTTATTATTTATTTGAAAGGCAGAGTTACAGAGAGAGAGGGAGAGACACAGATCTTTCATGTGCTGGTTCACTCTCCAAATGGCCACAACAGCCAGGGCTGGGCCAGGCCAAAGCCAGGAACTTGAAATCATCTGGATCTCCTATGTGGGTGGCAGAAGCCCAAATACTGGGGATATCTTCTACTGCAGGTTAATTTTTTTTTAAAAAAAGACTTTATTTATGTATTTGAGATGCAGAGTTACAGAATGAGGGAAAGAGAAAGAAAAAGGTCTTCTATCCATGGTTCACTCCCCAAATTGCCCCCAACAGCTAGAGCTGGGCTGATTTGAAGCCAGGAGCCAGGAGCTTCTAATGTCCCCCATGTGGGTACAGGGCCCAAGCGCTTGGGCCATCTTCCACTGTTTCCTAGGCCATAAACAGAGAGTGGATTGGAAGAGATGTAGATGGGAATGAACTGGCACCCATTTGGGATGCTAGTGACACAGGGGAGGTGGCCTACTACGCCACTGCGTAGGTTCCCATGTAGGTTAATTTTCAAATTAATAATTTTTATGTCCTGTGAATAATGTTACA